TCACACTGGAGGTCAGGACCTGTCTGCCGTCCCAGCCGCTTCCACTTCAAAACAGTTTTCACTTTGTTGAAGATTTCCCCCAAGGAATCATTATTTTCCATTATAAGATATTCAATGGAAGTTAACCACAATAACGCATACATTCAACCCCAGCACTGAGGGAGCATACACAGGCAGATTTCTGTGGGTTTGGAGAGACTTGACCTCAAAAAAAAGTTTTTTGTTTTTGTTTTTAAAAAAGATGTTCAGTGGCATCTTGTTTTGCCAACCAAGACCACTTTCACCTGGAAGTTTACTTCTGTGGCTCTGACGTCTGTGTGGTCCCCGTCCTCTAAATCAAACTTGAAAACTAGAAAAGCTATCCGAGAGGCTTGACAGCGAGGCACGATAAACCCATGTAATCTCCCAGCCAGCAGAAACAGGAGGGTTGTTGCAAATTCAGGGCTAGCCTGGTCTCTAGAGTGAGTACCAAGCCCAGAGCTACTTCAAAAGCTAGCTTACTGCTTCTGCTCATTTTTAGCCAACCACAAAAATGTATGACATTTATTATAAAGCAGAAAAAGGAAAACAGCCTGCATTTCTTTTCCTCCTCCTCCCCTTCTTTAAAGTAGGATCTTACTTTACCGTCCAGGCAGAGGGTCTCACTGTGTGCATCAGACTAGCCCTGACTCCACAGAGGTCTGCCTGCCTCTGCCTCCCATGCTGGGATTAAAGGACAAAAGGTGTCGGCCGCCACGCCCACTGCACGTCCTTCCTTCCTTGCTCTTTCTTTTTGAAAAAAGATTTATTCATTCCATTTTATGTGAGTGTTCTGTGTGCATGTTTGTGTGTGTACCGTGTGCATCTTTGGTGTCCAAGAAGGTTAGAAGAGGGCATGCAGCCTCCCAGAACTGAAGTTACGGGTGGTTGTGAAGAGTCATTGCTCCAGCCTCCCGCACTTCTCATAACTAAGTTATGTGGAATGGTAAACTGTGTGAGCATGCTGCCTGCCTTACTTCCACGGGTAGCTGAGTAGCCTATTCGTTCCTGGTCACTTACCCTATCCAGGTTCTCAGTGTGCCCTCTGCTGGTGGAGCAAAGAGCAAGTGACAGCAGCAAATGTGTCTGCACCCGGGGTGGGGGTGGGGGCGGGGGTGGTCCTGTTTAACCCGCCCCCCATTTTCCCTATCTCTGTATGAAACTGTTCGGCTCATCATTTTAATTTTGTGCCACTTCCCTCTGGCTTTATTCTCACTTCTGCCTGCTTCTCCCTTTCCTTCAGTCTCCCCTCTTGGATCTCCTCATTGTTCCAAAAGCTGTCCTCTGAGGCCGGTGGCTGTGCGGTCTCTCAGTTGCCCCACCCCCACCTGGGTCTAGAGGTGGCTTATCAGAGTCTTCAATGTCACGATCATAAAGGCGCAGACAGAAACGCTTGCCCCTGCCACTCGGCGTCCCACCGGGATCAAGAGACAGAGAGGGGCCATGAACCTCGCTCCTCATGCAGCTCTAAGAGCGTCGGCACTGAGGGTGGCCTGCTTGTGTGGGCTGGCATTTCTGGATCTGTCTGAAGACAGAGGGATGGATGAGATGATCTCAGGAGGGCTCTGCCAGATCGAGGAGTGGGGAGCCTCCTCTCAGTCATCATCAATTTAGATTTATTGGATGCTCCCCACGGGGGGGGGGGGCGGGGGCTTGGCACTGTACTAAATGGTTGCATCCTGCAAGCCCTGAAATCCGGTTTCTGCCTTTTTAACGCTGTTTAAAAACGCTTTACCATTGGGCCATGTTTTTGTTAACACGTTATTAATTACTACAGAGTATGTTTTAGAAATTGGAACCATAGGGTTAGTGATAGTGTTGGGACTTTCTTCAGTTCTTTTAGTAACATAAGATCCTGTGGGACCCCTCCATGTGTGGGACACCGGACACTGGGAGTCACACGGGTGCTGGGAAAGGGTACAGTTGAAGGTGGTACCTCAGGAGGGCCTGGGAAAGGGAGCAGATGGAGAGAGGGGGAGAGCATGGAGGCTTGCCCTGGAAATAGCTGCTTTATTTTATTTAGTATTTGTTGAATGTCTACTCTATAAGTAATTTTTAAGACATCAAAGCTATAATCGTGAATAAAATTATGAAGCTTATATTCTAACAGGAAGATAGGTTTTTGGAAGTGAATGAAGCTGATGTCACATATTACAGCAACAGATGAGTCCAAGAAGCATCTAAATTCTAAGAGGATGACAAGAAAGAGGGGCCAGCCTGAAGAGCCAGGGGAGGAGCTGGATCTGGGGGGGAATGGGGTGTCCCCTGCAGAGAGATGGCTGGGCACAGAAGGCAGGAAAACCACTCAAGAAGCCAGTTTGGTGAGGGAGTGGTGAGGAAGGGATCAGCTTTGGTCAGATCTGGAAGGCAGGTTTGTGGGGAGTCGGTGTGGTGCCGTGTGAGGGAGAAATAGAGAGCCCTGCATGCTGAAGTCTGCGGAAGGGGACGAGGGTGCCACCAGGCCACGTGGGGAAGAATGGCGGGGTGAGATGGAGAAAGGTTGAGATTTCCATTTGGGACTTGAGAAATCTGAGTCTATGGAAATGAAAAAAATGCTATGGCCAAGATCCCTTAGCAAGAGGAAGAAGGGCACCCACATCCTGAATCTTTAACACAAGATTTTCTTGTTTTTATTCTATTGTTTTACGTACGTGAATGTTTGCCTGCATGTATGTCTGTGCACTGTGTCCATGCAGTGCCTACAGAAACCAGAAGAGGGAGTCAGATGCCTTGGAACTACAGTTACAGATGGTTGTGAGCCACGTTGTTGGTGGGGACTGGGAATAGAACACTGGTCCTCTGCAGGAGCAGCCAGTGATCTTAACCATTGAGCCATCTCTCCAGCCCCCAGGCCTTAGTCCTGCAGAAAACAAAATGTTTGTGGCCAGGGATGAGCTAAGGTTGGTACTTTTTCTGGACACCGTGAGGCACCCGAATGGCAAGCTGCTCGCGGGAAGGTAAGGGGCAGTTTGGAGCCTGACTGGGCTGCTGCAAGCTGGGGCCGGCAACGTGAAGGTGGGACACGGCCTCAGGCAAACGTCCCTGTGGATCCTGAGGAGAAGGGGCAGGCATGCAGGAGCAGGCAGGAACTCAGTGGGAGGAAACAGGCTGCTGGCTGCAGGTCCAGGCAGGGCCATCCTCATCTGCTGCCTGAGGGGTGTCTTTGTGGCCCCCCCATACTTGGGACCCAGTCCACTTTGAGCTGAAGTCTCTGGACATGCCTAAGGGGTGTGGGGTGATGTGGGCATGGGGTTGCATTACTGTTCTCACAGTTTCCTTCACTGAGCTCCTGGTAAAGGCAGCCTTGTGTTCTTTCCTGCTGGTTGGTGGGTTGTTTTTTGGCTTTCTATTGTTTCCTTTGGGCAGAAAACAAAAAAGCTGAAAAACTCACACACTGAAAAAATATTTAAAGGAAATTACTTTTGTGTGTGTGTGCTCGTGTGCACACATATGTGGTGTCTATATGTGTGCGGTGTATGTAGGTGTGCTAGCCTGAATGGGTACATGTGGAGGACAGAGGCTGCTGTTAGAATTTCTTCCTCAAATCAAATTTCCGTCTCACTGCTGTTTTAGTTACATTTTAAATTTGTTTGTGTGTGTGAGAGTGTGTGTGTGAGTGTGTGAGAGACAGACAGAGATAGAGACAGAGAGACAGAGACAGAGACAGAGACAGAGAGAGTGACAGAGCCAGAGGACAGATTTTGAAAGTTGGTTCTATCCTCTCAGGGACTGAACACAGGTCATCAGGCAGCACCCGCTATGCCATCCATCTCTCTAGTCCTCTACCTTAGTTGAGACAGGGTCTCTCACTGAAACTAGAGCGTATTATTTCAGCTAGACTGGTTAGCTGGTGGGCCCCGGGATCTGTCTCTGTCTCATGGCTGGGGGTACAGGCATGTGCCACCACACCTGACCACATGTGGCTCTTTGTGTTGGTGTTGGGGATCTGTACTTAGTCCCTCTTCCTGGCACAGCTGACCTATCTCCCCAGCCCTAAAGCATTTGAAATGCTTTGTTTACAGTCATAACAAAGACATCAGTGGATAGGATTAAAAGCAGTGGTTGATTTAAATTTTAGATTGAGTATAGGTTAAAATATTTATATCCTGTGATAACACAGTCACCCACGAGGAGTCAAGATGTCTTCCCACATTCCCTTCTCTAGTTTCTCCTTGTCACCATTCCCACATTTTCCCCCTTCCCTGCTGACCCCACACTCTCTTACAGAGCCTCAAGAAGCCTCCATTGGTGCTGTGCCTACAGCTCTGGCCAGGAGGGTCTGTGCCGGGAGAGACAATGGCATGCTGAAATTAAGGATGAGCCCTAAAAAGGGACCAGGGGGCTGAGTGACAGGGAGAAAGTTCAGCCACAGATAAGGCCGTGCTGGGAGCTTTCCCATCAGGACAGTCTGCTTAAAAACAGGAACCAGGTGGACAAGGAGCTCTCATTCTCCGGCCATTAGAGTTTCTTGGCTTCAGATTTGAAATGGGACCAGAAGACGGTGAAGTTCCCATCTTGACCTAGATCTAGTGTGTGGTCTGAGGGGCTCAGTCAGGGTACTGCTTGCTCTTGGGGCTGGAGGATCCCTGGGAGGACACAAAGCTCTGTGTAGCCCTCCCTGGTTCTCTCCAGCAGTCTCCACACCACTTCATCCTGGGGCTCCAGGTCTGGCTTGGAGGGTGTGTGTGTGTGTGTGACACTGGACCATGTTTGGGGACCAGCTTTGGAGGAAGCTGGGAGGTGGTAAGGAGCATGCAGTGGGGTGGTGGGAAAGTTGGGGGGCTCACTGTCATGTGTGTTGCCTCCTTGCTTTTCTACAGTGAAATCTACTGGTTAAAACCTTTCTTCCCATTCTTTGTCTCCCCTAAACCTTTTCCCACTCCCCCTTGAATGCTCATCCTGTCTCAATTGCTCGTTCCTGGCCATGCTCCCATGTGCCTCTCCTTCCCCATCCATTGGTTTCTCCACTCCACTCCCCACAGCAGAGGGCAAGGTGTACAGCTCAGATGAGGAGAAGTTGGAGGCCCCAGCAGGAGACCCAGCAGGCAGCGAGCAGGAGGAAGAGGGCTCAGGCGGTGACAGCGAGGACAGCTTCCTGGACAGTTCTGCAGGGGGCCCCGGGGCCCTTCTGGGACCTAAACCGAAGCTAAAGGGAAGCCTGGGGACTGGCGCTGAAGAGGGGGCACCAGTGGCCACAGGGGTCACCACGCCTGGGGGGAAAAGCCGAAGGCGGCGCACAGCCTTCACCAGTGAGCAGCTTTTGGAGCTGGAGAAGGAGTTTCACTGCAAGAAATACCTGAGCCTGACAGAGCGCTCCCAGATCGCCCACGCCCTCAAGCTCAGTGAGGTGCAGGTAAAGATCTGGTTTCAGAACCGCCGCGCCAAGTGGAAGCGCATCAAGGCTGGCAATGTGAGCAGCCGCTCCGGGGAGCCCGTGAGGAACCCCAAGATTGTGGTGCCCATACCTGTGCATGTCAACAGGTTTGCTGTGCGCAGCCAGCACCAACAGATGGAGCAGGGAGCCCGGCCCTGATCAGGCTCCTGGGGACCGGAAGGCAAAGGATCTGCACCTGTGCCTGCCCAGGACTCACTGGGTGCTGCCGACTAAAGGGGCCGGTGGACCCTGCTCTGGGAGAGGTCAGCTATGCCCCCTGGATTGCAGACACGAGTGCCTGGCCTGGAACTGTTCTAGAGACACCAGAACTAGGGGTTCCAGGGGCGCAGTTCCCCGAGAGCTTCTGGAACAGAAGTGGACTCTTGGGTTGGGGATACGAGGTGCCCAGGGCCTAGAGGGTTCCGTGGCTAAGACCTGAGAGGGCAGCTTCTAACAGAGGGAAGAAGTCCCGGTGGTACCAGCCCGCGACCACAGTTCCTTATTTATTTTGTGTAAAGTTTGTATATATGGAACTATTTTGTCTTTGTCTGTCTGTACCCTGAAAGGGGGCTGGGAACGCTGTTTCCTTGAGCCTCATCCAGTTTGTCCCACTCTCCTTTGTGACATCTTGCTGCCCAGTACAAGGACATGTGACATGAGATGGAACTGTCTCGGCAAAGTGGGGCTCTTCCACTCTTAGGCATCCCTCCACAGTGCACCCCACCCCTCCCATTCCCACCGGCTACTTCCCGTGGACAGGCAAACTTCTCTGCTTCTGGTATCTTCTCTTTGGGGAAGGCGGCACGAGTCAGGGAGGCCCCAGTTTAACCTGGAGAACTCAGGTCACCTGCGTAGAGGACACTGTCCTGTCAGTGACTCGGGCAGGACAGGAGGCTCACTCCACCACGCGCGCCAGACGAAGAAGCACTTTCACAGAGAGCCTTCATTTGCTGCCTCAGACGCCAGGGCCTGAGGCAGACGCACGCCCATGGCTTCTCTGCCCTTGCAGCCTTATGTGTGTTCTCCTGTCCATTGCATTTTGAGGGGCTAGGCTCCCACTAGCCTCTTCTATGACAGAACAAGACGGGTTGAAAGAAGTCACTGCCAAATAGGACAACAGTGAGTCAGATGATTCTGGAAGGATATGGGGCAGAGATTATGGGCAAATTCCCGGAGCAGGGCTCTAGGTATCTGCAGATGTTGGGGAAAGGAGAGTGAGACACGCGCACTATGGCTGCTGTTGGGGTAACTAGCTTTTTGGGGAGAAACACGAGCTCTCTGCATTAGGGAGAGCAGAAGACAGAAAAGTGAACAAGCTGTGAATGAGGCAGTTACCGCCAAGGGAGGGCCAAGCTCAAGCCGCTTACACTCGGGGCCTGCCTTGCAGGCCACTCTGGCCACCCGTGAGCCCCAGAGGGGCAAAGTCGTTAATGTCACGTTCAGTTAGTTGTTGAATGCCTCTAATGAGACCAAGACAGTCCGTCCTTGGCAGTTCATTTCTCCTAAGCAACTCTAGTGTGGACATAAACCAACAGTAGGCTGTCTCTTTCTCGGTCCTTGGAAATTTAACTTCAGTAAGGCTTGGGAATTTAACCTTGAATATGCAGTCCAGATCCAGCCCATTCTCAGCCAGGTGTACCTCAAAGTCAAGAGGCTCGGATCCCTTACACTCCATCTACACAGGAGGCAGAGGTTCAGCAGGAGCTGGGTGGAGTTCAGGTTCTTTGAGGGAGGTGGCCAGCATTCAGGGAGTCTGGGGTTAGCCCATTCTGTGCCTGGGAACCAAGTCCTGTACCTATTCATGGCGCTGTCTAGACTCTGCCCTGTGTAAGGCTCTTAATAGACTTGAAAAGGGGGATGCGGGTGAAAAAAATAAAATCTGGTTTCCTCTCAATAGCGTTACTTGATTATTAACCGGGATGTGGGTAAGTGCCTAGGCAGAGCACCAGCCCACCATATGGCCACCTGTTCAGGGTGTTTCAGAAAATAAGGGCTACCAGCAAGGCGGTTCCAGCAGTAGGAAACAGATCCAGCACTGAGACGTAATACTCTCATCCATCATAAACTAGGAGAGGCGTTTCCCCAGGGTTTCTCTCAGGAATAAAGGGATATGGCAGGAAGAGCATGGGATCTGGTCTCTGCTTCCAGCCTGGCTGGGGACAGGTTAAGCTTAGAACCTGCTGGAGGTCGAGGTGGCTCTTGGCCACCAACGCCCTGCCCCTCCCACGTCCTCAAAGGTCATGGGCCAGCCACTTTATCACAAAGCTGTCCTCAGCACCCTGGGGAAACTTCCAAGCAGTCCCGGATGCTCCTGAGTGCCTCTGTCAACACTGGCCACAGGAGTCTCGGAGTCTCTCTGGCTTTGCCTTTGCACACTGGCCAGTGCAGGGTGTGTGGTTACTACACAGAGCACTGATGACAGCAGAGACCACAGGAAGTTTCCAGAAGTGGGCATGGGCAGCGAGCGGAGGATGCAGAGCAGGAAGCAGAGCCGGCTCCTGTCAGGGGCAGTTTGCCCAGTCAAGCTTCCCACAGACTTTGCTCCATCCCTGCCCAGGAAGGCTGCGGATCTGACAGGAGGGGACTACAGAGAGCAGGGGCAGTAAATCTTAAACATACTAGAGGAGCAGAAAGTGGAGGTGAGGGTCACTCTGGGAAGGTTGGGGTACTGAAGCACAGAAGGAGCGATGAGGCCACACATACAGCCTGGTTTATTGACTCATCACACACACACCACGTATATACACAAACATAAATACGCCAATGTACAAACTTTACATGGGACTCACAGATTGGTCCCCTTGTCTCTCATCTGGCACCCCCATTCCGTGTCCTGTCCTCCCCCACCCACTGAAGGGTGAAGGTTTGTGGGAGCTGTCATGAGGAGGCAGGGTTCTGGAGGAGGGAGAGGTCCTGCCCCCCTCTCCTCACAGGCACCTCCAAAGGGTTCTGTCCCTTACTGGCACCGTAGGGCAGAGGGCTGCACAGCGCACTCCTGCTGTGCAGCAGCTCCAGCCTCTGACCTCTCCTCCAGCCCGGGCCCTCCCTCTCCTCTTCACTGTGCCTTTCTGGCTGCTTCCTCCAGCCGCAGAGTCCTTCTGGTCCGTCTGCCCTCTTCCTGAGCTTCACAGGAGACTTGGGCTGCGGTGCAGCTCTGTGGAGGCATTCGTACCATTGGCAGGCTCTCTGCTGGAAGTGGGTGCTAACGCACAGCCCTCACCAGGGCACCCATGTTGGATCAAGATGTCCGCACACTCCTGGCTGCCAGCCCGGCGGGCATAGGCCAGTGGGGTCAGACCCCTGGCGTCACAGCTCCTCACGTCCACCCCGTACTGCAGGAGAAAGCGTATTTATAGTTGGCACATGTGAGAGGAAAGGTGCTTTTGGGGGGATACCGGGAGGCCAGGGGCACCCAGACTCACCCATATGAGCAGCTGTGTAAAGACCACATTGGCCATGGCACTGGACAGGTGCAGGGCTGTCCTCCCGTCCCCATCCCCGTACGTCTCATTCACTTCCTCCTTGGACCCATGGGCCAGCAGCATCACCAGCAGCCGCAAGTCATCCTCCACCACAGCCCGGAGTAGCTGCTGCCCCAGCGGCACGTCTGAGCTTGGCAGTGGGGCCAAGAAGAGCTTCTGTTCATACTTGGCCCGGATCCAGCGCTCCTTCTCCTCTCTATACGCACAGGTCCGTCAGGCACGCGGCAAGGAAGGAAACGGGCATTTAGGCAGGGGACAGGGACCACTGTGACGAGAAAGGCACAGAAGCCCAGGGAATCCAGGGCCTTCAGAGGGGCAAAAGGGGCGGGAGACCTCTGGGGCCAGTGGGGGTATGAGGGCAGAGGGGGCAGGAAGAGTCCAAGCAGCCCTGAGTGGCAGCTTATCAGGCCGTCTCAACTCTGCGATTGGCAGCACCGGAACAAAGCGGGTGACAGCCGAGAGGGGCCGTGGCCACCGTATCTACCACCCATTCTCCCCATCTCAGCACGCAGGCTTGGACACAGAGCCACAGTGATACGGGCCTTGCGCATGCGCCTCCAGCTGGCCCCTGACCTGCCGATAACAGCTCAGAAAAGGCCCTGTTGTTGTGAGGCGCCTGAGTGACAGGCACCAGCAGGGGAAAGACACCCCCAGGGGCCAACCGCCAAGCAGAGCAACAGCGCTCTGACCCTTCTAATGCTACTGCTAGAGGGTCGTCTGTCCCTCAGTGGGGCCTGGCGGTCTCCTTCCTAGGAAGCACTGGAGCAACACTAGCTTACCTGCAGGCTTCAGGGCCTGGCTTCGAGTAGCCATTCAGAGCGCCCTCCCAGACACTGTTAGCCAAGGCATTGCCCATTGCAGTCATGACAGCTAGAAGTTCAGGCGGCCAGTCATCAAGGTCCAAGGAGCGGACCCGGGACAGGTGAGCCCCCAGGTGTCGGTGGATCCCTGAGCACTCGATACACATCAGAGCGCCCAGATTCAGGCTGGCCCAGTCTGGATCTATGTGGACAAAGGGAGAGATAGCAGATGGCACCCAGGGAGAGGGCCACTGAGGAAGGTCCCTTTCGACACGCTGTCCACCACCCCTTGTCACCTGAGCCCTACACACCCAGCTCCCAGATCTATTGTTCTTGTACTCACTAGGGGCTTCACAGTCAATACAGAAGCTGTTGCCACGGACCGTGCGGACAGCCTGCACAGCCAGAGCCGTGTTCTGGTTCCCCAGCCGAGTCTGCCATGAGGCAGGAGAGATAAGGATAGTTGATCAGTCCTGAGTCCTCTCTCTGGCTCTCCCCTAGCCAGGCTCTCCAAGCAAGCTCTCCCACCCCATGCCAACCTTGTCCTTGGCGCTGCGACAGCCCTGTAGGCTGGCAAGGATTTGGGCCTGCACGCTCTGCACCCACAGTTCTCGTTCTTCTGCCGTTGAGGCCTCGAAGTGCCAGGTCTGACCAGTGAGGGACACCACTACAAACTCAAAGGACTCCTCTGCCTCTGTGGAGAGAGCATTTACACGGTTAGAGCTTTGCCGCAGACACTCCCAGGGGCAACCACTGCCACACGTCCATCCAGAGCCTGCCCCACCGACACTCATCTTCTTCCCTCGCCATACGCCTCTGGCGGCCCTGGGGCCGCACCACTTAGGTTATTCACAGGCAGGGAAACCGGCTGCTAAAGACCAGCAGGAGCCCCTGCCCTCCGTTTCAAACCACCTGTGGAGTCAGGAAATGGTGGGTGCCAGTGCTTGGCTTCCTGACCACTGCCAGAAATGGACCCCTTGAGGGGCCCCTGGAGGAGATGAGCTAATGTCTGGAGAAGGCTGTGGCGGGTGGTAGAAGGTGCACGCTGGGCAAGGAGGCGGGCGCGAGCACCCCCCGAGTCAGCTGCAGCCTCCTCATTTTGCAGCTCATTAAACCCAATATTCTGGCCGGCGTCAGCACAGGGCTGCTGGGAGCTGGGCCCCTCCCCCTCTGGCCTGGCATAGACACGAAGGAAGGGCAAGTGGCAAACACCGGGGCTGCACTGTGACCCCAGGGTTCATGTTCTCCCACTCTACTTGGACTCCCGAGACCCCTTGAAGACAGCAGCCACGACCCCTGAACAGCTGCCAAAGGCAGTGTGACTTGTCATGGGGGCTAGAGAGGCATAGTATGCATACAGCTCCAGGGTGTGACCCTGCATTCTGCCAGGGTCATCCCTGATCCTAAGTTCTTGCTGCCTCTCTGTCCCAGCACCTTGGTGATGCCACACCCCTAGGAACCTTCCCCTGCTGGGTTCCTGCTCCGAGGATGAGTACCTCCCTCCCCTGCATGTAAACTGGTGGTGCCTCTCCTCTCCAGGTCCCTTCCCTTGCTTTCACCCTCAGTTCATAAACTCTGTGAGCTCCTCTACCACCTGGGAGGCCTTGAGTCCCTAGACCACAGTGGACACTGCTGCCATGACTTTGGATCACTGTCCAGATTCTCTTGACCCACACCCATCCCCACAGCAGTCAGAACAGAGATGAGAACTTGCAAGTCCACAGAAGGTACTTATGTGGGAACCAAAACACTCGGGAGGTGGGGGGTTGGGAGGACACTGGAGGGGCGGTGTCATGGTAACAGAGACCACAGAGGAAAGGTCAGGAGAACATCTTGAGCTGGACCACCTTTGCTCAAAGAGACTACAGAGAGCACCGCCAACCCTACACACGTGAGAGGGGCCTGAGCACACATCACACTCCTGGCTAACGCAGAGACACAGAACCAGCGTTGCTCAGCAGTCTTGAAGAGCTAATGTAGTGGCCTGCTGCCTGCCTTTCTCCAGGAATGACAGAAGCAAGCTTGGCTCAACAGGAAGGATTCAGTAAGAAGGGCCTAGGTTACCAGAGGGCCGTGAGCTACTTATTTCAGGAATCATTCATACAAAGTGCTTCTCCATTTACCATGGAAACAACTGTGCTTCTAGGGTACAACACCCAGGTCCCACTGCCCACCTCTGGGTCCCCCTAACCTCCAGCAGCACTGCTGGGGCCATCTGGTCTGGGGGTCCCGGTGCTCTTTTTCCAACGGTGCTGCTTCTGATTGGAGTGGGGACATGGGGGAGGCTCCAGCTTGGGGTTGGAACTGAGAACCTCAGCTGGGCCACTTGCTGGTGAGGGGAGAGGCGGAGAAGTGTGGAAGGACTGAGGGAGGAAAGCTGGGCATAGGATAGGGGAGCTAGTCCTGCTCACTCTAAGGTGGGTGGTGCCCAGGCTTCCCAGGCCCAAAGCTTCCTGCCCTGGAGGAGGAAAACTAACAAGCATTGGCAACTTAAGCAGAGCAGGATAAAGACAGGGAGGCGAGTGCTTCTGCAGCCTGGAGGGGTGGAAGGCGGCCCAGGGAACTCACGGGGAGCTGAAGCCCCAGCAGCTCCGCACCAAATTTATCCTCAATCACACTCCCCGCTCCTCACAATTAATAGCAGAATTAGAAACAATCAGGGAGCTGCCTAATTACTGTCAATTAGAGCGCGCTAATCAAGCTCCGCTCCCACACCCCGCCCGGTGCTCACCACTAAATGTCAAACTTCATTAGAGGCAGACACACTCCCTCCCTCTCTGACTAACTCCTTCCAGACTCAACAGAGGGCCTTCAGCAATGCCAGACAGGCCATGGGTCGGTGACCCAAGGGAATGGTCCTGGTTCCATGCTGACTTTCCCCAAGGTGGCCTTGCTCTCGGTTGGGGACATGTAGGGCTCTTCTGGCTGTTGAGCAGAGAGCAGGGTGGCTGGGCTTTCTGTTTGTACTACGAGAGTGGAGGTCGAGGAAAGGGTCTGTGAGAAAAGTAAAAGTGCCCCAGTGAGCAGCAGCTCAGGAGGGTGGGCAAGCAGGGCAGGGAGGGTCTGTGGCCAAAAAGTTATGGGACTGGGGGAGATAATATTTGGGAAAAGCACTGGAAACACGCTGGATGAAAGGCAGTTTCTGGCTCTTGGAACAGGGCAGGCCCAACCAAGGGAGGCAGGACGTGGGGAAGAGGGCCTTTCAGGACAGCCCTGCAGGGACTAGCACCCTCTCTGCAATGGCAGGTCAGTGCTGCCCCACAGACATGGCTCCCACTATGTACAGTCCCAGCCTCCAATCTCCCTATTCTGCTTCTCTGTCCCCCTGCCGAGAGGCTGATGAGCTGACTGTGCAGGGGCTGATGGGATACAGGAATGCTACCAGCAACACTTGGGGCCAAGGAGGAGCTACAGAGAGAAGCCTAGAGTCCTGGCTGAGGATCCACACAGAGGCCTGTGGCCAGAGACACTGGTAAGCTGTTACTGGAGAAGGAACTGAGCCCTGCAGTACAGCATCTGAAGCAAGCCCTGAAGGGTTCTGCTGGGCCCCACCCCATCAGTCCCCTGGCTCCTGGGCTCCCCCTATCTCTCTGCAGTTTAGGCAGATGCCAGAAGAGGTGGGGAGCAGCAGAGCCACCACTCACCAGGGTGCTGCATGCTGGGGGGCAGGGCAGCTGCCTCACTCCACTGGTCAGCACTGGACACGGAACAGGAGCGCTGGGGGCACACGCCAGCCCAGGCTGAGCTGCTGTGGGGGTGATCAGAATGCAGGGATGCGCTGCTGGCCGAGTGGGGGGCACCTGGGGGAGGGGAAGGATCAGGCTGGGATGAGGGGCAGGAGGGGCTGCATAGAGACGCACTAACAGGTTACAGAGCAGAGCCCAGTTAACTCTAGCAGGACAGTGACCAGAGAGGAGGGCCTGGCCTTCACTGGGGAGTGAGGCAGGCTCACTCGGGTGTGCCAAGGGCCACCTGCAGCCTCTACACCTGAAGGAGACTACTTCTAGGCTTCATATCCTCTTTTCTCTAAGAACATAAAGGACCACACTCATCATTGTGGTTTGAGAGCTGGGAAAGGCAGCGGCAGGGGGTGTCACCCATGTTGCTGAGGTCTCCTGGGCAAGGCCGAGTGCAGCCCCGTCACTCCCCTTAGTTACCCCACTCAGGCCCCTGCATCTAGCATTTTAGTCTGCATGCCATTTGCTTTGCCTCAGACTTGCTGCCGTTCTGACGAGAAATAAGTGTATCAAATTCAAGTAATTATGTCTAATTAGTATTAGTAATTATCCTGTTGGGCTGGAGAAAATTAATCTTTCGTTTCCCATCAGGGAAGAATGGCAGAGCCAAGGGGAATCGAAGGCTTGAGGAGTTCAAGGTTGGGCAGGCACAACCCTCCGTAGGCAAAGAGGACGAACATCCAGCTTTCTCTGGCTTCACCCAGGGCCCAGCTAGAGGCCTTCTACAGAGACTGGCAACAGCCATAGTCTGTGTCACTTACAGGGCCGAGGAGCCTAAGCTGCTTTCCCCTTCAGTGTCCTCACGATGAGGGGTGGTGATGAGGCCAGAAAGAAATGGCCCAACAGACAACCTAGGACAGGTCTGCCCAACTCAAATGGTTTTAGGCCTCCTGAGAAGCTCCAGTGTGGAGGTTCCAGTGGAAGCTGATGCCCGGGAGGCAGCCAAACCTGGAGGAGGCAGGCAGAGCAGAATGCCTTACAGTCCAGCAGGCAGGCGAAGCAGCTGCCAGAGGAAGGAGGGGAGGCCCCATGCTGTAAATGTTCTAGGGCGTGGCCTTCAGGGCAGAGGTGAGCTTGATGCTACCCTTCTATTTGCTCTAACACCTACCATGACTGGACATGGTGAGTGCTTATAACACAAATGTGGTACCCAGGCCTCAGCTCCCATCCTGAGGTCTCAGGTCCCTTCCTAGTACTTGCAGCCTTCCCTAAACCCTGGAGGCCCCTTGATTATCCCTAATTCCTGGATTCCAAATAGGAGCCCCTAACCCCTTGCCTGGACCAAAGGTATCATAGGCCCAACTTCCTCCCCCAAGCCCCCAACCTAAAACCCTGAGGGAAGGAAAGTGCTTTCCCTTTTCTTTGTTAATTCTCCCCTCATTACGCCTGCAATCCCACAATCAGTGTGCACTGTAATTGTCGAATTTGATGCTAATGATTAATGAATTAAACATGGAGCCATCAATTAGTCCTCCGAGGATAATTCTGCATAAAGCAGCGGATAATGTAATTACAGTAACAAAGATAATGAGATGTTAACATCGCCCGGTGAGAGAGAGACATGTGTGAGTGTGTATGAGGGTCGGTGTCAGCATGCGGCAGAGGGAACTCGTGCTTGGGAAGCGTCATCCATGTGTTTCTGTGTGGGTGCCGTAATTAGAGGAGCGACTTGCTGGGGCTCCCTCCTGCATTCCACTGTGGCATCCGAGGTGAAGGCTAGGTGGGTGGGCCCGGGACGGGACCTTGCTTCTTCCACTTTTGGGGAGATAGCGCTGTTTTCCTCCCACTGCCCATCTTAAGGAAGGTCTGCCTTTTGGCTACCTTACCCTCCCTCCTCTGGTGCCAACAAGAAACCCCATGCTGAGGTTGGCCAGATGGGGATCCCTGCACGAGATTCTAGGACACATCCTAGTGACTCAGCACTGAGGACAGCATATGACCCATTATTTTTGCCACCAAGGCCAGGCTCTGTAGCAGACTCTCAGCAAAGCACCCTTATAGCTGAACTGAATTTCCTTGGCTTGCTTCCTTCCCACTGCCCCTAGAGCTCTCCCAGTATATAATCCAAGAACTCCCCATTTCTGGATCAGATGGCTTAAAGGAAGCAACACAGGAAATCCTGGGTCCCACCTACAGAAGGATTTTATAGACAGAGTCTTTGTTTCCTAATGAAAACAAGACAATAACCTCCACAGCATTGCTGTGGCCCTGGTACCCGGTTCAGAGACATCCACTGTGCTGGTTCAGATGAGGTGATGGTATGAGGTTCCTCTTTCAGCTCTTCCCACACCTCTAGTCCACTCAGAATGAACCAACAACAAATAAGATATCTTGCTCCAACAAGGATCATTCTTAGGGGGTGGTAGAGTAGGACATTTGCCTAGTGTGCACAAGGCCTTAGGTTCAAATCCCATCAGTATTTACAGTAAACAATTCTTTACTGTTTGGGGTGTCCTGTCCATTCCACAGGACTCAGTATACTTAGGCTCATCTGTTCTCTCAGTATCTAGGACACCTTCCTATCATGTGACAAGAACTCCCTACCTCCTCACATGGCACATCTAGGGGATCTACATTGCCATGAGTGTGCTTTTGCTTGGGTCAGAACTGGCAAGCCACCTGTGTTGTGAGCAGCAGGACAACTAAAGACACTGAGTCCCGCAGAAGGGCCCAGGAATCCAGAGCAGGTCTGGGAGCAAAGAAAGGGAGGGAGGGAGGGAGGGAGGGAGGGAGGGAGGGAGGGAGGGAGGGAGGGAGATCCAGGGAATGGCACTGGAGAGAGGGCCTCCCAAGACCACACTGCTACATGAAGAGGTAATAATACAGCCAGAACCAGAGATGACACTGCTCTTCCAGAGGACCTGGGTTTGATTCCCAGCACCTACATCAGGTGATTCACAACTGCCTGCAACTCCAGCCCCAGGGGAATCTGGATGCCTCTGGTCCCTACAGAAACTTACATGATCACTACGGACACTTGCACCTATATTCTCATAAACATACTCACACACACACATGAAAACAAGCATAAACACACTCACAGAAAAGTTGCCCAGACACAACTGTCAACTTGTGGTCCCTGAGTCTCCATTTCCCGTGGGTGTAAAGGACGGTTCTCCTGTCCTCCCAAACCACTAGGGTTAGACTCAATGCTGTCTGTGCATCCATGACAGACCTGAGATGGTTACCTGGGTAATCCCAGGCAACTCTACCCGACACCTGTGGCTACCTTAACTAAAATTGCAGGGAGGCCATCCAAGAATCACTAGCTGTCTCCATACCCTAGTCCTAAGGCTCCCAAGCCCCACCTGATAGCCAAGTCTATCTCAACAGGCTCCACTGGGTCTGCATATGGAACATGACTCGTGGTGGAGAGGATCTTCAAGTATGACCTTGGCTGGTGAGCATGTCTGAAGCTCTGATGTCTAGGCTGAGAAGCAGCCTGTCTTGCTAGGCCCAATTACATCCACTCCCCCATCTCTAAAACTTGCCACAGTCCCCATCACAGCAGCCACCTTACCTGTGCCCCCGCCCAGCTGTGTGTTACTCCGCTCCATGGCCAACCCATTGGCACGGGGACTGGTGCCTGGGGCTGGGGTAGGTGTGGCTCGGGGCAGACGCTTCCCTGGCACTTTCACTGTTGTCCGCAGAAGGTCAATCTCCTTGCCATGGATGTTCTGCATGTAATCCTAAAGGTGCAGACAACAGGAAACGCATTACACCCGGCTCTCCTCGGCAGCTCGTCTCCACAGTGCTATCAGGCCTCTTCCCTCACTGCTAACTGCTGTGTGTATGGGGCGGGCAGTGACGAAACACACTTAAGTCTCAAAACGCAGGTCTTTGAGGCACAACCGAGTCTCCAAATCTGGATCATACCGGAGCCTTCATAGTGCTCGGAGGGGTGGAGCTCGGCTAGGAAGATACAGTAGGATGAAGGGCTAATGAGGGCTCTGGAGCCAAGCACGTAGGCTCAAGGCCATGGCTTAGGAGGTAAAGAGATAGGGCTTAGGGAGAGAGCACCTGTGTGGCTGAGGAACAAACTCTGACTGAAGGTCAGAGCAGCCCTGATTCCCATGATGTTCCTATCACAAGCTGGGTGATGAGGAATGAATCGTCAGCCCTTAGGATGGCCCCAGATAACAATTTACTGAACAGTTTATAGGACAGTCTTTGATTCTGTTTGATGGACTTGGGAATGTATGGTTTTTTTGTCAGTGGGACCTGTCATCATCAGACTGTCATTTGCCCATCCCTGAGCTGTGTGTTATGCACAATATATCTACAGCTCCTTTATCAATCTCAAATCCCAAACAGCTGAGTGAGGTATTTCCAGGCTCAACTCACGGCAATCTCCTGTCTCAGTGTCCAGAGTGTTCTTTGCCCTATGTTGGAGATGAAGAAACTGAGGCTTAGGAATGCTAATCTGCCCATGATCACAGTGGGTACAGGTCTGCAGGTCACCACTGTGCTTCATAGGTGACATCCTTAGCTCACCTTAAATCATGGCCCCAGGACTACAGGACCTCTGTCCCCGCAGCTTCTCATTAAAGCTGGACCAGACCTGACCTGGAGCTTTGACCGAAGCTTCCCACCTCGCTCCAGACTGCCTCAACTTTTGCACCCTCAAGTCCCTTGATAGTTCCAAGCTCTCACTCTCTACTATAGGACAAGAGATTCCTCCCTTGCTGCTATGTAACTTCCTGAGAGAAGAACCTAGAGTTGTAATCAGACATAACACCAGATTCTCTCATTGAAGCTCTTGAAATCTTACATAAGCCCTATGCCTACATACAGCCCCATGAAGCCTAACTGAGCTGTAGCCATCTTGGGTGTCAAGGTGGGCATGACATGTCTTCAGACAGACAATCTTCGGGAACGCCTGAACCCAACCAACTGCTGGTCCTGCACAGGTGTGTTCGGGGAGGAGCTTCGACTTGTGCCTGTGCCTTCTTGCTTTGTCTATTCCTGTGACAAAGCTCAGGTACACTTGTTCTGAGATTCTGTTCATCTTCTTGGATTGGCAGAACAGTTTACCAAGAAATCAAAGAGAATAGCCTCGAACTCAGGACCCTGACGATTCTGGCCCAGGGCCCTGTTGTTGCCCACACCAAGGACTCATCTGACTATTCTCAGCCCACCAGGCACTGTTGTTGGTCCTCTGGTCTTCATTTTCATGTCTAGTATGTAACTTCACAGTCTCAACCTCTCTCTCTCCCTCCAGTCCAGTCTAGGTTCTACATGTTCTCATCTTTAGTTCCTATACATACCGACCTCTGCTTCCTGCTCATGCTCATCGTCAGTCCTTATATATGACAACACCTTAACCAGTTGCCCTAGAGAACTGCCAACAGCTGGCTGGGCCAAAGGCCCGGCTGTAGCCACTTTCCCTAGGGAGGGGCTTGGGTTGCTCCAGTTTGCAAGGAGGTCACAGCAGTTATAACAGTCTTCATCCCTACTCAAGCTCTGAGATGCCCAAAGCTGGAATGCAGTGCTAGAAAAATGACCCTCGGCCAAGAACAAGAGCTGCACAGAGGGACTTCGTTCAGGGCCAAGGAGCCAGCGCTGGCTAGCAGAGAAAGAATTGCCCAACTTCTGCCACCTGACCACACCATTTCCTGTGACACCCTCAGAAGTCCAGGCCAAGTGTTGTGCTGCTTGCTGCAGTCTGGGCTTGGAGGGCATGGTGAGGACCCTGGAGGAACAGCAGCAGGGACAGGGACCTCAGGCAGAGAGCAATAGCGTTTCTCTCCGTCAGCAGAACAGGGGAGCGTGGTGGTGGCAGCGGCTGCTCAGGAGAGCGGTCACCACGGCTGCCTTTATTACCCACCATCAAACAGCAATTTCTTCCCCAGCCTCCTCGCTAATTACCCAGCCAGCGTTCTCATCTCGTTTTATTACTGGAATTAACAACGAGTTCAGAGCGTGGAAAGCTATTAAGATGTGTGATTAAGCCACATTCAATTAGTTTCTACAAACAATTTAATTGATGTTGCAGATAGAATTAACAGAAGGTGATTGTGTGAATGGCTCCGCTGGCTGCAAAATGGGGGAGGCTGTGGCAGGCTCTCTTGGGCCAGGCGAGATTCGTGCTCTCGAAGCTTGCGGCCTGCCCACCAACTCATGCTCCAAATGCTGGGTCCAGCAGCTTCCATTAGTAGGAGAGGCCCAGACATTGTGGTCCTGGCTCTCAGGTGAGACCTGTCCCCTTCAGGAGAGCCAGACAGGCCCAATGCTGAGGGAGCCTCTGTGAGGCTGAGAATCACTGGGGCCTTTCTTTCATTGTCAAGATGAAGATTCCAGCATCTCAGGGATCCATGACTCTCGCAGGTTAGACTCTAGGTCACTGCTGTGTGTGCTAACGCACTTCTGAGGTGAGAGGGAGGCGGCAAACGGGAAATGGATGAGAGAAAGCAGCAGCAGGAGAGGACAAGCAAGCCAAAGCCACAGGCCAGGTGAAGATGGAAAGGAATCAACTGGGCGTCAGGGCTTCATGCTTTCACAGGAACTAGCAACTCTCTGATAAGAAGGCCAGGCTGACAGTTTTGCCAGTGCCTCCTGATATCCAATGGGGGCGGGGACACTAGCCACACAACCCTCATAGAGTCCAAGGGGACCTGGAGGGTTCGAATCCAAGAGGTCAGGCTAATAAGCTGTCACCTGTTAAGAGTTCACCCTGCAAGTTCATAAGGGCAGGCCTGGAAGTCCCTGGCTCCCAGGTCCTGTCACAGACCTTAAGCACACAGCACAATCATGATGAAAGAATTCCTAGTCAAGCCTCTGGCAGCTTTACCTGACCTATTCTCTGTTCTGACTTCTTCAGCCACTCTCAGAGACAGGTATTTTTGGCAAGCATTGGCCAATCTGGGTAATGATGATGATGGATCCACATCTTGGCTCAATTCAAGCTGGGTGGCTTGAAGATGCTACAAACCCACCAAGCCACTGTTTTCCGTCTGTGGCTGTAGAGATAATGTTCCTAGTACCTTCTTTACTTCTGGTTCTAAAACCACAACCTAGCCTGATACAATCAACTCACACCTCCCCCATGTTTCTATCCCTCTTCTCCACCCTGGCTACCCTCACTATCCAGTACGAAGAACAGCAAAAAGGATAGACCCCACACACCCAGCCACAATTGCACGAACAGAAAGACTCTGCTGAGGATGCAGACAGGAGGTGGCTGAGGCCACCCACACAGGAAGGAGGCAGGTGTCCTGGTCAGCTAGTTCTCAGTTCTTTGGTCCAGATGAAAATATACAGAGAACTTATTCCAACCTGCCTGGTGGACAGAGGGTGAAACATGATTCATAAGAGTTAGCGGGTGCTGACATGGTTCTAGGCTGCAACACATAGCCCACTTCCTCCTGCAACTAGGGAGAACCCGTCAGAACCCTTTTGTAGGGAACACCCTAAATCTACTATCTGTCTAGTGCATATTCCTCTATCCCGGTGCAGGACTCCATGGTGAGGCATTGTACTGCAGAGGGCACTGTAGGTCTAAGACACCTTTCATCTCTGCAGTCAGTGCTGCCTGAATTAGCCAAGTGAGGGCACGGAGAAGGCTGAGGGCCGTGTGAGAAGAGAGTCTGATGCAGTAAACGGATGTGGGCCCTTCATCTCTCAGGGACCATTACTACCTGGCATTCTGGCACAGGAACTAAGAGGATTAACTTAACCAATGTTCCCTGAGCTAAGCCAGTACCCCACGAATCAGAAGAGGTAAAGATCAATGGGAATCCCAGGCTGCACACTAGCCTGAATGGAGACTTCCCCAGATCTGCCCTGCCCAGGCCTGTATCCACACCAGGCCCCTTTCTCCAAGGTTGTCTAGGGAGGCCTCAGGACCAGGTAATGGCCAGGAAATATAAACCCCGGAACCTGCCAGGCAAGGCCTCCCTGACATTGGGTACAGATTTAAAGATGGGTTAGAGACCTTCTGAGGCAAGCCCAGAGCCTCTGGGCGGGGGTGGGGAGGAGGTGGGGCTGGCCCACGTGCTGTGCTCGAGGGGCTTCACAGGAGAACTCATTAGCCCCACAGTGGGGTGGTGACAGAGATGGATTCTGGTGACAGCTGTGTGCTGGAGCCACGCAGTGAGGGGAGGAGACGGAAGGAGGGTAGGGAGAGCTACCACAGGGGCCACATTATGATCCCTGGACTCCCCTGCTCCACTGCAGGGTTACGGGCCATGTGTTCTTTGGACCCTTCTATTCCTCCTAGGCCAAACTCAACATCCTGGCTCACCATCATCACTGGCCAGGAGCCTAGTGCTCCTCATTGCCATGGTCGGCTACAGACACTTGTTTGGCAATATCCATACCATGGGCCACAAACACAGTGACATGGGACACAGAGCCTGGCTGGCAAAGGAGGGACAAGCTGGCCACAGCGGCCCAGCATAGCTGGTGGGGAGTTTGCTTTATAGGAAAGGTAAACCTGGTCCTCTGCTCTTCCCAAACTATTAAGTATGGTGCATTCTCAAAGGAGAACCCATGATCACCAGGAGACCCTACTCTGTCCCTCATCCCCACCCCTTCTCCTGGACTTACGTGCAGGCTGGGATGGTAAGTAAGCAACCCGTTGTCACAGAGTGTCACATACTTCTTCTTCCACTCCTTGTTCAAGGACTTCCCACTCCTTTTTAGCAGGATCCCCTAAGAACAGAGGTATAGTTATGGACCAGGAGTCAGCCTGAGGAACACAGTGCTCCAAGAGCAGGGTTCCAACTAGAGGCCAGCCCAAAGGTCTGAGTTCTCATGCCTGCCTGGGACCTGACTGGCTGGGAGCCAGTCCAGCACAGGAAGGCCATGATGTGATCACTAACTCAAATCCCCACCCTATTTTCCGAGGAAACCACTACATCTGAGCAGAGGGAGGGGTAAAGACCTACGATGCACTGGGGAGAGCAGGAGGACATTTCCCGTGGGCTTTGCTTTCACTGACTATCCAGTGGGAAGCACTCTGAGCCACTGTAAATGTAAAAGACTCTACAAGAGAGTAGAAGGACAGCTGCAGAGGCTTCTGGTCTTCTACCACCAGAGAGAGCTCCAACACAGGGCAGAAAACCCCACCACCTGTCCCAACAACGCCCTAGACCCCATACTAAGCACCAAGCAGTCCAAGAGAGACGTGTCTTGCAGTTCAGCACAGGGTTGATCTCTAAGCTCTCTACCACCAAGTTCTACCCCCAGTTTTCTTCTCACAGCAGGCTCTGACTAAATCATCTACACTGGCTTCAGACTCCATCTACAGCCCAGCTGAGCCCAGAGCAGATTATCCTCCTGCATCAGCCTCCTGAGCAGCTGGGATTACAGGCCTGTGCCCACACGGAGGTCCATGAGCACAAGGGCATTTGTGTGGGTTGTGTCTGTGCTAACACTCAACACACAGCATGGTACCTGGGCCATATCACACACTCACAAGTGTCTACTGGAAGAACTGGAAAAAAGCGTGACCCCCGCCAAGACTGTGTGGCTGTCAAGAGACGAAGGCAGGACTTAGAACCTGAAGGGTGACATCCACCCACAGCCTGCCTGCCTTCCTCCCTGAGAGACACCCATCCTCTAACCATCCCCTAAAGAGCACTGCTCCAGAGCACTCCAGGACCACAGCGCGGGAAACAGCTGGAGCACGAGCACTACAGATACACACCGTGTGGCTGGTCCCTCAAAGCCCCCAACTCAGTACCGGTAGGGAGGAGGCACGGGGTTAAAGCCAGACTGGGATTTGGTGAGAGAGTTATGTTATGACAGACATTTCTGGCATAGAAGGAAGGTGTACTCTGGGCTCCCCGTGGGGGTAAAGCGTACATGTGGAGGCAGACAGTGGGCCCTGCCCTCAGCCAGTCAGTAAGATAACCACAGAGGAATGCCAAGTATCAGACTCAGCCACCCTTCCCTCAGAGATCAGAACACTCAATTAAGGGGTGAGGAAGGTGGCACATGCCTGTAGCCCCAGGGGCTTGAGAAGTTGAGGCAGAAGACAAGGGCAAACCAGCCTGGATGACATACAAAGCGATTTAGGATTTACAAGTGTTCTCACTCTTGGCCACTAGGGGGCAGACTGGAAGCTGAGGAAGGGTGCTCAGCTAGGGAAGCTTTAGTTCCCAGCTTCTACTTTTCAACATGTCTCATATCCTTGATAACTCCCCTCCTTCCTCCTCCTCCTCCTGCCACCTTCAAGAGACAAATGTCACTACATGAGACACAACGGTGCTCCTAGCATTTGAGGACATACTCTGCTTCCTGATGGTGAGACCCTACCCTCAAGTGGAACTTCTGGAGGTAGCCTGGGATAATTTTTTTCTTTTTTTTTTTTGAGACAGGGTTTCTCTGTATTGCTTTGGAGGCTGTCCTGGAACTCGTTCTGTAGACCAGGCTGGCTCGAACGCACAGAGATCCCCCTGCCTCTGCCTCCCGAGTGCTGGGATTAAAGGCGTGTGCCACCACCGCCCGGCAGCCCGGGACGATTTTTAAAAGCCCTCAGTTCCCCAGTCATATTGTTGCTCAAGGCCCTGAGAAGGTCACCTGGTGTCCTGCATATGGCTGTACTGTCCCTGCCATTGCACAGAGGAAGTAGAAGCAGAGGAGAGCCGAGTTACTCCCTCTCCCTGACATTAGCAATGGCCCCCAAGGGCAAGCAGCCTGAGACAGCCAGCCATCCGGGAGCAAAGGGCAGGAAGGTGCAGGGCTCCCTGGAGACCTCGGGCTCGCGGCGCTCTTGATGTTGGTCATCAGCCTCCAGCCCCAGCTCGCACAGAGTGCCGCACTGTCACTAGTGGTGAGCCACTGCCTCTAAGCTCCAGGCCCAGCCTCCGTGCCACCAGCTGGCTAGGAGTATCCAAAAACCACAATGGCTCTGGGCCTGTCTGGGTTAGAGCGGTCCTAAGATCACAGGACCCACTCAGGTCCTCCCCCACTTGGCTAGGAGATGAGAAGTCAGACTGCTGCGGAGGCAGCTCAGGAGCCAAGCCCTTTCTGCCCCACAGAATACCTGACTCCCTTATGCTTAATGAGGCTCGTTAGCAAAGGACGTGGGCGTGGCGCCTAGGGCTCTCCAACAGGCTAGAGGGCGGTAGAGCGACCCTGGCCCAAGCCCTCCGCCCAGCCTGGCTGCATCTACCCTCCAGCCCAGGTACCAAGAGGGAGAGAAGCTGCGGGGTTCCCGCTCCCTCCCTGGCCGGCCGGCTGCGCGCCACGGAGCAGGAAGTAATCTGGGGCGGAATGGGAGCGGTGCGGAGGCGACAGCCCCCAGAGGACCCGTTCCCGCCACCGCCTCCCTCCCAGCTCCGCCAGCCGACTTAATTGCGGAGTCCGGATTGATTGGGAATGCAAATGGCAACTGAAATGCAATCTCCACTCCCAGCAGGAGCTAGGGGGAGGGGAAGGAACCGAAATGGGGAGCACGAGACAGGAGGGCGGGGAAGGGGAGGGACCACAAATGTGGCAGGGTGAGACCAGGTGGGCTCCTGAGACTGCACCCAGAAGGCCACAAGGGTGCGTCTGGGAAGAGCGCTGGTCTCCCTCCCTCATGGGTGGGGCCTCCCGAAAGGCACCCCACATACACCTCTGCAGGTGGACATACAGAGAAGCGACTTCATCTCCAGCACAAAAGACAGACATGGGGCCAGACAGCTACCAGGGCCTCAATGCAGGATGGGCCTTTCCAAGAAGCTCAGGGAATGTTAACACCAAAGTGACCACCTGAATTCCAGGTTGCAAGTTGACAGGCCTCCCTCTGCCCTGTACCCCTGCAGGTGGAAGACTCAGAGAACAGATAATTCAGCCTCCAGCTACTGCAACCCCCAGACAGGAAAGCAAGTGGGAGCTAAGGCAAGCAAGTGTTCTCATTCACTCATCAAATGTGTTGGGTGTGTATGATAACACCACCACCACTCTGAAAGCACCTGCCATCCTCACCCTCCCACCTCCACACAGGCAGGTGACTAGGTTGCATCCATGCTGTACCAGCCACAGAAGGCCTGGATTCCTGGGATCAAGCCATAAAGAATCCTGTGCCATGATACTGTGGACGGACACAGGAACACACCGGCATACCAAGCCACAGGAGGAGGGAGGGGACTGTCACTCCTGCCATCCTATGCTCTCAGCCTTTTCAGCAGCCTGACCCAACTGGAATGGTCCCTGCCAAACATAAACTCAGTCAACAGAGGGGTGAAGAGAAGGCAGGAGAAAGAACAGGGTGGGCCATGTGGCTCCCTGCATCATCCTCTGGGCCCTTATAAGCCTTCTCCTAAATGCACCTTCACAGAGCATCAGAACCCCACCCCCACCCCAAACCTTAACACATGATGCAGACACAGGGATTGGCCTGACCCTAAAAGCTTACACTGCCAATGGACCCACAAGTCCCTGGAAGGGTTAAACCTGCCCACAGGCTCTGGCCACATCAATCTCTTCTGGGGTCAAAACCTGGCAACATGTCCCTCCGCAGCTACCAAATACTTGGAAGACCTGTACCACACCAGTACCAAGAAGGGTCCACTTGGCACACTTCATTCCTGCAGATGATGCCTGTTCATTCAAATGTCACCCCATCCACTCAGTAGCACTGGACAGAGTTCCCATCCAACACATGAACTACCACCTTCATCAGTCCACGCCTTTTCCAGCACAGGTGTCCCCATCAGGAGGTGTGGATGGCCTAGTGCTCTCAGGGAGTGACTCAGAAAGGAGGTGTAGAGGAAGACCAGAAGGTGACACCTCTACTAAAGTTTTTTCTTTAGAAGAAGGTACAGAAAGTCACATGCTTTCTTGGTAAATACATCTCACCCCTCATCAAAGAAATTCCCATTTTCACAGAGAATAAACGACATGAATTTAGTGCCCAGCCCTAAGTGGGACAATTATAACACAATCCCACACTTAAGGCTTAGGAACATGACAGAAGAAAGAGCAGAAAGATTTTTTTCTAAGAACCAGATGACCAAGACAGTGTCTTCTGGACATGACAGGGACGGTGCTGAGGAAGGAGACCCAGCTTTCTTCAGGGATGAATGCAGACAGGCTGCTTACACCTAAGCAGTGAGCCTTAAACCCATATACATATAGGTAGCTGTAATTGGAACCAGTAGATGACAAAGGAAAAGAAAAATAACAAGAGATGCCCACAATGGAAAGCCTGCACCAGTGAATCCCGGATGGGATTATCTCTCAGTCCTGCCTCCTTCTTACTCATGCTCCTTCATCTGGCTTGTGTTTTTAAGGCAGGGTCATGCTATGTAGCTGAGACTGCCCCAGAGTTCCTTACAACCCAAGCTGGCCTCTTTCCCTTGCCTCCCAAAGCCTGGGGTTACAGGTATGTGCCACTATGGCCAGCCCCTTATGGTACTGCCCTCAACTCTTCTCCTCAGCCCAGAGTCTCGGAGGGCCCCTCTCCATGTTTGGAAGCCAACTGAGGGCGGCAAGTGGCTCTCTGCTGCTCTCCGGTGGTGATGAGGAGGGAAGACAGCAGTCTAGGGACCAGGTTGTTGGGTCTCAAACTACAGACCAGAATCACCTGTCCCTCGGCTAAAAAAAAAAAAAAAAAAAAAGGCCAGGGAGGTCCTGGAGAGAGAGAGTGCTGACCTGCTTAATGGGGATGGCCCGGCCGCTGCCGATGCTGTCCACTTTGCACTCAGCAGCCTTCTTCTCCCGGTCCAGGTCAGCACCTTTTCGAGACTGAAAGAAAAAAGAAGAGACATGTTAGAGGTCTGGAGACTTTTGGGGGAAAACAGCCCACCTGCATTCCCCCGGCCTCCCATATTCCTCCCTCTCCTGGGCAGCCCTAGCACTGGGTCGGGCCTGCGCGGCGGGTCGGGAAGGAACCGAGACACGAGTATTCCAATGGGTTTATTCTTACACACGGCACCATACAGAGCAGCACAGGTCACTGAGCCGGCCCGCCCCTCACAAAGAGCAAGGACATGAAATACAGAGGGCGGGCGCGATGAGCTCGTAGCCCAGGGGCTGGAGAGTTAAGTGAAGGGGGCGGGCGAGGAGAGGTGGCCCGGTGGGGCTGAGGGCTGGCCAGGAGAACGGGCACTGACAACCAGGGAGAGCAAAGTCCGGAAGTGAGCGGGCAGGTGCTCGTTTGCGGCACAGACACATGGCACCGAGCGCATCGGTGTGGCCCGAGGGGCACAGTGGATGGAGAGAGAGAGGAGAGAGGCCAGAAGAGGCCCTGCGCCCTGCCAAGCTCCTGGGGCAGAGTCCACCCAAATGCGGATCCTAGGAAACGGGGAGGGGCCAAAAAGAGGGGCAAGGCAAGCGCGGTGGCGGCGGCTTCCGGAGCAGGAGCAGGAACAGCAGAAGTCCATGCAGGAAGGAGCAGAGGAGGGGAGGGGCAGGAAAGCTCCCCCCAGGAGCAGCTGGGCCAGCGGGCTTGAGCGCCCCCGCCCCTCTGGGCCTCGTCGCTCTGGGCGGCCGGCGTGGGCCGAGCTCCCTTCTTCTCCATTCAGCGAGCCTGGCGCAGCGTCCAGCCGGGCCTGGTCCCCGGCAGCCCCCAGCGCGGGCTCCGGCGTTCCTAGCCTTCCCTGGGGGTGGGGTTAGTTACAAAGGTTCCTGTGGGTCTCTGGAGCGGGGAGCTCGGCGGCCGCTTCTCATCTGAGAGCAGTCCCAGGGCCCGGCCCGCCTCCGGCCCCGCACAGGGGGAATGTCCAGAGGTGCTGTGTGTCACCACCTGGTCTTCTAATTTGGAAGGAGTTGGAAAGGCCTTTTTGTTGATGAAAAGTTGGAAACAGTGGCACATATCTGCAAATATCGAAAGAATAAAGATTTTGGCAAGTTATACTTAAGCCCCGCAAAAGTCGGTCAGCACTGGTGAGGGCAGAGACCCAGGCGCCTGGGGAGAGGCGGCAGCGGAATGAAGAGGAGGAGGAGGATGCAAGGAGGAGGAGGAGAAGGAGGAGGAGGTTGGAAAAGGAAAGGAGGAGGCCGCCAACTGCTGCCATTTGTGGCCCAGCAGTCCATGTCAGCAGGGAATGTTCACCACTCTGCTGCCCGGGCCCCAACCCTCCTGTTTTCCCAGGGCGCCAGAAGCCAAGGGCACAGGGTCCCGACAAAGGAATGCAACTGCAATGTGTGAGAAAGTCCAGCAGGGGGAACACCAAGAACTGGGCAAAACTGTTAAAGATTAAATTGCTGCCCAGTAGCTCCACAGACAGCACCTGCCTCCAGACCTCTCCGGGGCTAAAGCCCAAGGCTCACGCCCTCTGCCCCTTTGGCCCCAGGAGGAGGAAGGAGGATGCGTCTGTTGTCATTGGGTCTCCAGACTGAATTCCTCATCAGGATGAGTGTGATGAGGCCTATCCCCAGCCAGGCTGGTAAGCCAAGGGGCTGCCAACAACCAGAAAACCCCAGAGCCCAGAGTGGCACCTCCCCATGAAGGAAGGGAATTGGAGCCAGGGCAAGAGTGGCAACAAATGAATACATGGAGTCATGACGGGGAGACTGGGGACATCACAACCATGCCCAGAGAGGAGTCACCAGTCACAGAACAGGCAGCACACAACAGACCCCCTGGAGCAGGTGTAACTCCTCTGGGAAGGATGAAGGAAGGGTGAATTCCCAAGATACACCCATAGAGCTGAACATGCCTTGAGGCTGCCTCAGGGACAATGGCGCAAGTGAGGTCACCATGGAAACGATGAAAAGCAAAAATAAGGTGGCCACCGTGAAGATGGGAAAAATGGAAGGGCCTGGAGGGAAGGCCGTGCTTGAAGCTGCAAGGGGTGTGGTGGTGCAGGCAGCACAGTCGAGGCAGGCAGGCAGCAGAGTACACATGGAGGGAGCCTGGAGGTGCTGGGCATCCTAGGAGGCCAAGCAGGGAGGTGGGGACGCCCTGACGCTGAACCAGCCAGTGGGGAAGATGGGACGATGTTAAGAATGGAATCAAGGCAGTGGATGACGGAGACACGATGCTGATGGTGGGGAATAGGCTGTGGAGAGTGTGGAGAGCGCCAATGGCGGTCACTGTGACATCGGCACCCAAGGGCTTTGCAGCAGCAGCAGCAGCAGGTGCGGACATGAGCAGGCAGCCCCCAAGACTCTGCATATCTCAATGACGGAACAGAACAGAAAAGAGAGGCTGTGGGTCTGGAGGGTTGGAGCTGTGGAAGCACCGCGTGCCCACCAGCAGCAGTAGCCGTCAGCAGAAAGAGGCCAGTGAGTGCGCACACCAGGAGCCAGCAGACAGAGGGATGCAGGGCGGAGGCGTGTCAAGCAGGGTAGAGTGAGGATGGAGGATGGAGGCCCAGGGCACTGGCTCTATCTGGGCAAGTCCAGAAAGTCTAGCCTGGCCAGCTGGATACAGGCGCAGGCCGAGAGCCACGCCCTGGCTCTCAGAAAGAGGCGTGGAGTGATGCAGAGGGGAGGCCGCTCACCCACCTTTTGTCTGCCCACAGCTCCTGGAACAGTTCAGCCAGAACCCCAGAAGGGCCACAGCCAGGGCAGGGAGGGGCACGGTATGTGAAAACCGGGATGGGGAGTGGTAAGCTCAGGGGCCAAAGAGCTGAGGGGTTGGCCCTGAGCAGGGAGGCACAGTGGCCCCCGGGTGGGGGCATGAGGTTGGTGGGGAAGGGCAAGGAGCTCACAAGGAGACAGGACAAACCTGAGCGGGAGGCACGAGGCAGCGTGGTGAAGCCCAGGAAAAGATGGCTAAGCCTTTGTTAAACCAATCACAGCGGTGGGTGGGAAGCATGAATGTTCCCCTCGGCAGTGGGGTAACGGAAAAAGAGCCGGAAGGCAGACTGTGAGGCCTGGCTGGGACTCTAGCTTGGCCAGCTAACCCTCTGTGTCGCCTTGGGCAAACAGCCTTCCGGCCTCCGGTTCATTAGCTGTTGAATCAAAGGGAGTCAGGGAAGTTAGGCCACAAGTCCAAAGATCCCTTCAAGGTGATACAGAAACTCTAGGGTTTTGGGAGGGAGGGAGGGAGGCTACAGGGGTGAGCATGTGCACAGGGGGGTCTGAGGGAAGCCCTCCTGGGCTCAGAGGTATGGCCCGGAAGATGCTGCAGGTCCAATGAGGAGCCTCTAGGAACCCTGTGTGTCTGAGTGTGAGAGCGACTGCATCCTCTTGACCTGGGGCTGCCTGCCCTCCTGCTCGGGAGCTCGGCGCAGCCCTGCCTGTGTAGAATGGCAGCTGGGCAGGGAGGAGGATGGGGCACGTACCGTGAAGATGTTGGAGCGCCTCTTGGACTGCTTGCGGATGGGCGTGGGGGTGGAGGAGGCAGCGATGGTCTCGATGCGCAACTCCCGCTGGCTGATGCTGGGGGTGGAGGGGACTGAGGACGAGTAGTCACTGAAGGCGCTGCTGCCGCCATTCGTGGCCTAAGAATAGAGAGGGCTGCTGAGAGGGACTTGGACGGCCCACAGCACAGGAGGCAGCAGAAGGGCCGCTGGCTCCTAAAGGTGGCACTGAGGGGAGCTGCATGTCCTGGAGGCCACCAGGGTCCAATGCCACCATGAGGAACTTTACACCTTTGTTCTGGGGCTCTGAAAGGGACTGGATGGGGCTGCCTCTCTGCCAACCTGAGGACTAAATCAGAGGCACAAGCTAACATTCCAAGATCAGCCTGAAAGTGAACAAACAGTAATCATGGTTTGCAGGTGTCTGGGACAAGGAAGTAGGTCACCATTTTTGAACCCTCAAAATCAGAGGCAGAGGGCTAGGGGTTGGGTTCCCTGCGCTGGGGCTGGGCAGTCTGGGGTTTGCTTTGACAAAGTGTATGGCATAGAAAGTATCAGTAACCGTCTGAGGTACAGCGCAGAACAGAGCAAAGGCCGCTGCGCACAATAAGCTGCAGATGGAGAATGGAAGAGAAGAAAACGAAAGCCAGAAACGCTTACAGGATGGAGACAGAGTACAAGGGAGTGTCTTCCCAGGACCAGAGAGATGGTGCGGGGAAATCAGGCCTCATTGGAGTGCCAGGCCCCATCTCCAACACCAAACTGACCAAGGGACTACAATCCACCCCTGCCCTCAGCAGCCTCCCAAGGGCAGGCCCACTGCAAAGAGGCAGGGTGTGACTGGCCCTGTTGGTGGAGGTAGGTGTGCTACTTAAAGATATAAAGACATTCTCCTATGCCCCCTCCTTTCCCACTCCTCCCTCCTCTTTTCATTGAGGAATGGTGTTAAGAATCCTTGTTCCTTCTCACAAGTCCCAAGAAGAAGGGTCCTGGCACTGGAGCCATGCTGTCAATGGAAAGCATAGTGGCTGACCACTAACCACTGTGGCTGACTCTGCAGCAAAGGGCAGTGAAGCAGAGTAGGAAGGGTATGCAGCTATGGAACCAAGCAATGACCCACATGTCCAGGGTCCAACACTAATCCAATGATAGGTTCCGATATAGACAAGTGATCAAGTAGCACGACAGGACACACGATGTCAGGAACTGGCTCAGAATGGGCACATTCCTGGTGGAGCTGAAATCCAAGTACCCTCATGAGGATGTGCTGCTCCTCTAACATGAAAACACCGCCACAAGGCACAGAGGGCCAGCCTTGGTGCCTACTGGGCTTGGGGCTGTCAGCCACTCCCTCCTCCTCTTTGGGCAGAAGGCAGGCACTACTTACTACATCTGCAAACAAGTGGAAGTGTCTGCAGTAGAGAAGACAGTCAGGCCTGCCTTACTAAGGGGTGGTGAGCACACCAGAACATTTCTCTCTCTCTGTGCCTGCTGAGTAAGGTTTCCTTAAGTAGCTAAGGAGACCGTTTAAGTGGAGTTCATTCGGGCATGTATTTGTGATGTCTTCTTGGCCAAAGTAGTTGGGAGGGAAGACAGGAGTGGACAGCGCAGAGACTGGGGCAAGGAGCAGTCCCCACAAGGAAAGGCCAGGCCAAGGTGAACCATGCAGGCCACACAGAGCTGGGACCAAGCAAGGCCGGGAGATGAGCAAGGGCGAGGATGAGGCAGAGGCGCTGGGAACCAGACACAAACCCGGGAGCACAGGGACGGAGCGCACCTGATTGATGTGTACAGCCGGGATGGAGGCAGCAGACACGGCCGAGTGGCTGGGTGAGTTGGGCAGGGACTTGCAGGGCCCAATGGCCAGCTGCTGCTTCTTCCTCAAGGCTACCACTTTCTGGGCCACTGCAGGGAAGAGCAAAGTCAATTCTTCTACTTGCTGGAGAGAGAGTTGAAAGCCCAGTTTGGCAGCTCCCCAAACACATGTAGCATTAATTGCTCGCCACAGAGCCACCCTATACCCAGCTCTGGGGTCCTGAGTTACCATCCTGGAAGACTCGTTCCACATTGAGCCCATAGGTTGCACATGTTTCATAGTAGGTGCAGCGCTTCAGGTCTGTGGACAGCTTGCGGGCCCTGCTGTCATCAATGACCCGGGGATTGGCGGCACTGATGGCATCTGTTGAAAGATGGGGGGATCACTCAGCTGGCTGAGAAGCAATAGAGGGTTATGTATTGGTGGGCAGGCAGAGGTCCAAGTGGGGTACACAGAGCACGGAGGACTCAGGTGCCTAGATCTTGTTCCATTCTACTAATGCCTTTTTGAGTGAAAACAAGCCAGTGACTTAATGAGTCCTTGCTCATTCAATGGAAACAAATGTGGATATAGCCCAGTATTACGGCATATGCCTACAATGCTAGATTTGGGAAGCTAAGACAAGAGAACTGTAAATTCAAGGTCAGTCTGAGCTACAGAGTGAGACCTTGTTTCATAAATAATAACAGTGAAAACTATGAACATAATAATCACACAGATTTCCAGAATCATCGAGAGAGAAACAAATTAAAGACCTTGGGTTTCAGGCCCCATGGCAGTAAGAGCCTGTCACTGTTCAGCAGGGAGCGGGAGCTGTTTATGGAAACCTCACTGGTCCACCACCATACCCTGCCACACAGCATGCTGTGACTCACCCTGTGTGCCCACCAGCACCATGGGCACCTCGCTGGCATTTCGGAAGCTGCAGAGGCGCAGGAAGTAGTTGTACACCGTCTGGAAGCTGATTTCATCCTCCAGGCTGAACACAAACACCACTGCATCCACCCAGGCAGCAAACTGGGGAGATAAACAGAGTCAGCACCCCGCTGGCCCTGGTGAACTTGGGCATAGGCAGGCATGTTAGTAAGAGCACCCATCACCTGTAGCTCAGGGGGGGCCTCCTTCATCTCTGATCAGCAGCAGGTAACTCTGGCCATCCACCACAATCTCCTTTTTAAATCGTCCCCCTAGGACAGAACAGAGGTCAGGACCGATGTAGGGAAAGTGTGTGTGTGTGTGTGTGTGTATGTGCGCACGCGTGTGCATGTGCATATAGAAGCCCTGGGTTCCCAGGGAGAAGAGAACCAAATACAGGGAAAGGAGAAGGGTGTGTGTGTGTGTGTATGTGTGTCTGTCTGTCTGTGTCTGCTTGTCTCTCTGTGTGTGTGTGTGTGTGTGTGTGTGTGTGTACGTGCATGTGCACATAAAAACCCTGGGTTCCCGGGGAGAAGAGGATGGGCCAGGAGAGGAATGAGCTCCACACAGACACAAGGTGGAGGAAGAGGCAATCTATGGCCTAGCCTGTGACGCTCACCTTCAGGGGACTCTTCCTGGACGTAGGTCCCTGTCAGGTATCGGTGTACCAAGGCTGATTTCCCACTAGACAGGTTCCCCACTATGCCCTGCAGAAGAGGAGCGGGTGAGTCAGTGTTCAGAAAGCAGGGAAGTGAGACTGGGGCTTGAGAAAAAGGAAAGGCCCAAAAAACACCAGGGGGAGGAAGGGAGCAACCCAACAGAGCAGAGTCCAAGTCAGGAGGACCAATGTCCAGATCACAGCCTAAATAAAGCCTGGCCACCCAGCCCACAGGGCCTCTGGCCTCCCTGGGCAGCCACTCACCACTTTCAGCTCCGGCACAGAGCGGCTCAGGGTCCACTCCTGGCTGTTCACAAATGAGTCTGCAAAGAGAGCCATTCCATCAGGGCACAGTGATACTCACACTCCTTCCCCATCCTTCACCACGGCCACATACAAGACCCCTCTTAGTCGGGGTCAGAGGAGATTACTGCCCTCCATGGGACCTTGACCCTTACCCCTAACGCCCTAGGGAACAGAGCAAACACAGTCCTCAGGACAGAACTGGGAGCTGAAGCTCCCTTCCTACACTGGGTCTGCTGCCCCTCCTCATCTTCCTCTTTACGGCCCATCAGGGACATGGATCCCACATGAGCTCACCTGGCTTGGTGCCTGGATGCCTCTTACGCAGGTGGGAGGCTACTCTAGCAGGTCTCAGACCAGACCCAAAACAGGCAGGGCCCTGGCAAGGGGACCAGTCTCCTTCCTGCGAGTAGGAACAGCTCACCCTTGGCAGGGTGGGGCCACCTACCACATTCCTGAGCCAGGGCGAAGAGGGAGGAGCCTCACCTGGCCCTGTATGTAAAGGCAGGTCCAATGAGGCACATCTACCAGGCCCTGCCGGGGCTTCTCCCCAGCATCCCTGCAGGAGACCAGCCCCCCACTCATTAAATCACACCCAGCACCTAGACTCAAACTAGGTCCTTGGGAAGGAAAGCCTCTTGCTACTCAGTGCCCCTGACCTGACAGCCAACACTCATCTATTCCCCAGCAAGTTCTAGATGCCCTGGGCTAGACTTGGTCTGGGCAGTGCTTGCTGTCCTGCCCAGCTCCCACTCACTGGCCCGGCCCACAGCTGTTTTACAGATTATCTCATTCAAGTCCACAATCAGTCCATGACCTCGGTTGCAGAGCCAGCTAGAGTGAGAGGTCCCAGCTCCCAGTTAGGAAACTCCCCAGTCAGCCTAGAGCGCCTTTCTTGAGCACCACACTGTACTGTACCCACCGAATAGAAAGAGGATGGCACTGCAACCCAAGTCCTTTAGGTCTCCTAGAACACCACGCCAAGATGCTACGGACAGTGTCACTGCCTGGAACTCTCTGCCACTGCTATCTCCCCTGGACACTTCCAACAACACTGAACATACCAACTTGAGTCAGACCCATCTATTCCAGGCAATGTGCACCCACCAATCTCTACCAGGAAGCTTCAGACCGTTTCTCACACAAACTATTTTCGGCCAGACTCCAACCAAGAGGCCACCATGGCGCACAGCGTCCCCCCTTACCCCTTGAAGCACCCAGGAGTCCTGGGGCCGGGGCTGCCCCGCGGCTCCACAGTGGCGCTGCGGGTGCGGGCTCCCTCCTGCGGAAGCGGCTGGTGAGCAGCTTCCAGAGGCTGGCGGCGGCGCGGGGGCGGCCAGGCTCCGTCGGCGCGCACGGGGCGTCGGCGCCCAGCAGGTCTCGGCGGCTGGGGAAGGTACCCAGGGAGCTGGCGTCGCCGTCGCTGCGGGTGCGCGCGCGGGGAGGCCGAGCAAGCAGCCCCGACTCGGAGCGCCGAATCTCCTGGCCGCGGCGCAGACGGAAGCTGAAGCTCTTCCTCAGTGCAGAAAGGCCGCGCCGGGGACTCTCCGCACCGCGCCCGCCGCCACCGCGGAACACCTGCCAGCGCTGACTACTCCACAGCGATGCGCCCCGCAGGAAGCCCGAGCTTCCCGTGCGGCCAAGCCCTGCGCCCGGCGCCTCCGTCGCCGCCAGCTCAAGACGGTTCACCTCCAGGAACGTCATGCTGGTGGGCCGTGGCCTGGACGCTCGCTCCCCGGGACCGCGGCTGCGCCGGGCGGGCGCGGGGCTGGGTTCAGGGCTGGGCGCCGGCGAGCCAGGTTGTTCCGAGGGCGCAGGGCCCCGACGGCCGTGGCGGGGGCGCAGGAGGCCGAGCAGCAGGCCACGAGCGCCGGAAGGCGCTGACCCCGGTGTCCCAGAGCACACGCTCCGCGGCCGCGCAGGCTGTTCACGCGCGGCGCACAAGGCGGCCTGCAGGGCGGCGGCGGTCCGGTCGGCCGGGGCGCTGTGCAGGTCCAGCGAGTCGCAGACGCTGAGGGCGCGGCGGCAGACGGCGGGCCGCTCCCCGCTGTAGCTCTCCCCGGGCTGCCAGCCCCGCTCCATGCTCAGGGCCCACAGGCGAAGGCCAGGCCCATGGCAAGGGACGCGGGGCTGGGCCCGGGCCGGGGCCGCGGCCGGGGCGCACGGACCTCCGGCCTCCGGGCACCTGGTGCGGGCCAACCGAGTCTCTCAACTCCTCCACCTCAAGCCTGCAAGCCCAGACCTGGAAGGGCCTGGAGCCAGCTTAACCAGGAGAGGCGGCAAGTCTGGCCTGGAACACCCAGGAACGGTGGCGCAGGGCAGCCCCTGGGAGCCCTCAGAAAACAGGAAATTCCAGCCAGGGCTCCTCCTAAGACTGGGCAGGTAGGTGAGGAGCTGTCATTAAGAGCAGGCCAAATAAATAACAGTCCCAAGCACACCCCACACAAAGCACCGTTTTGCACAAAAGTGAGCTATTTTCTCTTTCTCCAAAGAGAAGAGACCAAAACCAAGGACCCCAGGACCAGCCAGACTCCTTAGAAGCCCAAAGTCTACGCCAGGACAGAGGCCAATCTGACGCCACCTCTGGGCTCCAGGCTTTTCTCTGTACTGGAGAACTTAGCAAAGTGATCGAGCATATCTCAGAGTGTGGCTCTGACGTTCATAAGCCTGAGAGAGAGGCACTTGATGGTACAGCAGTTACTGCTGATGACTTGAGTCACAAAACTCAAGAAGATACAATTTTGCTTGGACTAGACCAAAGGGCAGAAGGAAAAGCCAAAGGTAAAAATCTCAGTGCCTGGGAGTAATTTTTGAGCCCCCTGCTGCCTGGCAAGGTCCCGGTGAGAGTGGGAATTTGTAGTACTCACCTGCCTAAGCTGACACTGTAAACTAAAACACCCCTAATTCCAATGTCTTTTTAGCATCAGGAGTATGCGCTGCACACAATACCCAGGAAATTCAGGCTCGCCCCAGGATGGGGCAAAACTCCATACTGTGATGGTACTGCTCTGTCAGCACCGCTCTGAGTCTCATGGCCGAGACAGCCAGCTTCCATCATCCAGAGGACAACCCCTGGCACCAGCAGCAGATCGGGAGAAACCAGTTTGGGTTAGCGCTTGATTGAGCGTCCCTGGAAACTGGTAATCCTCCCTGTTGGCTCCACCCGGCCCAGCCCAGCCCAACTCCAAGTCCCATCCAGTTTCAGAATCCCAAGGTCCCAGTGAGAACTAGCAGATGAAAAAAAGCAGTACATTCCTGAGCGGGCTGGGGTAGGGGAAGGCCTAGGGAGGCAGGGCCTCTCCAATCAAGGTACTCCTAAAAAGGAGAGCTGGAAACTTTCAAGTCCTGGGCTGGATCTCTGGGGCATTCTGCATTCTTGTGGGGCTGGTTATTAAGAGTGGAGATGGCTGCTTCCCTGTTGCTAGCAATAGATGTAATAGGTGGTTCCTCAGAGAAGCTTTCCCAGGACCTCAGGCAGGTCCAGGGACACAGACAGCTCCAGCACTCTTAGCTCACACTCCCTGATGCTGGCTAAGTCAGCCAATCTTCCTGAGCTACAGATCAGAAGAACAGTCTTTTTACCTTAACTTCCTGTGCGGATCGATTCTGTCAACTTGACACCAACCTAGACATGCCTGGGAAGAGGAAATCCTTTTTTTTCTTTCAGATTTTTAAGACAGGGTTTCTTGTTGTTGCCTTGGCTGGCCTGGAGCTCACTTTAGCTGGCCTCAAACTAAGAGATCCTCCTGCCTCTGCCTTCTAAGAACTGGGATTAAAGGTGTGAACCACCAGACCCAGTGGAACAGGGCATCTTAACTGAGAAAATGCCTCCGTAAGACTGCCAAGTCTGTGGGGGCCGTTTTCTTGATCAACGGCTGATGTGGAAGGAAGGACTGCATCTGCTGTGGATGTGGAAGGAAGGACTGCATCTGCTGTGGATGTGGAAGGAAGGACTGCATCTGCTGTGGATGTGGAAGGAAGGACTGCATCTGCTGTGGATGTGGAAGGAAGGACTGCATCTGCTGTGGATGTGGAAGGAAGGACTGCATCTGCTGTGGATGTGGAAGGAAGGACTGCATCTGCTGTGGGTGTGGAAGGAAGGACTGCATCTGCTGTGGGTGGCACCCTGAGCAGGTGGTCCTGGGAGCTGTAAGAAAGTGGGCTGAACAAGTCACGAGGAGCAGGCCAACACAGCACTCCCTCATGTGCTTTAGCGCCTGCCTGACCTCCTCACGTGACGGACTGTGATGTGGAAGAGAGCAGAGCTAGCCTTCTCCATGCCGAGCTGTTTATGGTCATGATGTTTATCGCCGCAATAGAACCCTAACCAAAGAGTTCCCTGTCGGCATCCATCTGTGCTATCTGTCCCACTCACAGGAACTACTCGACAAAAGAACAGGACTGCCCACTACAGCACACCCCCCTCCCTTGAAAATGCAGACACAAGAAAGGCAGTAGCTGAGGAGCCAGTGTTTGAGGACAAGGTGCCTAGTGGGTGGGTGCTTAGCAGTGGGAAGACAGCTGGAGAGGCAGGGCCCAGCCACTCACACACTTGCTCCAAATGCACGTGACAACCACAGCTCTGCCCCACATATCAATTCCCTGCAAAGAGCAATAACTCAGCCGGGCGGTGGTGGTGCAATGGTGGTGCACGCCTTTAATCCCAGCACTCGGGAGGCAGAGTTCAAGACCAGCCTGGTCTACCAGGCGAGTTCCAGGACAGGCTCCAAAACAATACAGAGAAACCCTGTTTCGGAAAAAAAGAAAGAAAGAAAAAAAAAAAAAAAGAGCAATAACTCTGGCTCTGAAGCACCAGGCTGGAATGTCCAAACAGGACCAAAACCCTACAAAACCAGCCCGCTCTCAGGGCGGCTGTTTCTTGGAGCTCTCTTAAGGGCCAGGCTGCATCTGTAGCACAGGGGCTCCTTTGGAAGTTTTTGAAGGATTAGTGATGACTCTCTCACAGACTCTGACTTCGTATTCAGGATGAACAATTTCTCCCTTGGCCAGGGTGTGCAGA